CTGCAAGAAATGGCCACTCGATCGGAACCCTTCAGTGGTAGCCTGTTGCAACCGAAAGGTTGGTCACCTGACTTAAGCACAAGTAATTTTTTATCGAATGCACTAGTGCTTTACCTAGGGAAAAAGATGGATTAAACTGAAGACAAAATACAAATTTAATTAATAAGAATAAAAGCCATAGCTCCTTTGTCACGTGAGTACGCCAAATGCCGAAATGAGTCAACGTAAATTTTCAATGTGCATTCAACTTCCGCGCTTCTAATAAAGGACGTGTGAGGACGCCTCCAAACAAGAAGTGAGGAATAGTGCAACGGCTTTGTAAGCGATTTAAACCTATCAGTGTAAGTCTTAACTTTCCTCTGCAAGATCAGATTAGGAAACAACAAACACCCTTTTTTTTCAGTTCTCATGCGTTGTATCTCTGGATTGTATTTTGCATAGTGATCATTCATCGTGTTGTAGCGCACGAAGATCCGCCATTCCGTCCCAACATACCGTCCATGGAAATGAAGCCAGAATACATAGAACTGATGGTGGATTGCTGGGATGACGACCCTGAAGAAAGACCGCATTTTTACCGCATTGTGGAGCGACTAAAGAAAATAAGTGGCAGGTACAGGGGAGCGTCGAGACGGGGATGGGAGTTCTTAACAAAGTTTTACACAGGGAATTCCTGTCCAGAAGTCAAAATCTACCCGTCTTTATGCCCTTTTTGACCGAAAGAGCGACACTTTCAAATCCCTCCAAGAAAAGATGATACTCTTCCACACTCCCACACTTGACAAACTGCATCTCTTCTCTATGTCTTTGGACCGACTAACCCCTCAAATCCTTGGAAAATTAGCCTTTAGAGTACGTCTGTTCGTGATATTTTGAAAGGTCTCTTTCTAAGTCTAAGTGACACTTTTTCTTTTTCTTTTCTACACTCCAACTCGTGAGATACCTCATTTCTTTATGTTTCCTAGCCGTTAAAGGGTACAAATTTTGGGCAGGGCCTTCCCAAACTTAAAGGGGTGCTAACTTTGGGTGGAGTCTCCTAAGGCTTAAAAGGGTGCTACCTTCTGGCGGATTCTCCCCGTATAGTTCGTTATTGGAAATATAGAGCTTATCAGTTTTTTCCGGCAACTGGAAAGAACGTATACGTGTGCGAAAGAAAAACTGCAAGCAAAGCGAGGGGAGAGTGACAAACCTTTGAAATGCCATGAAGTCTTTCCATAAGCTACATTCATATCAGCTCAGTTCTGATGTAGCTCTGATATTAATTTTAACCCGATTCATTTTCCTCAGAGGGTCAAACATCATAGAGAACATGGTTACCATGATGGAAAAACACGCCAATCATTTGGAACAGCTGGTAGAGGAACGAACCAGGCAGCTTAATGAAGAGAAAGAAAAGACCGAGAAAATTCTCTACCGGTTACTCCCCCCGTAAGTAGAATGTACAACTAAAGTAAGAGGCAGTTCCAGTTAAGCAGGTTTGAGTGACTGAAGTAAAATTAAACTCAGAGAATGATCATATCTGGCAAGTTGTAACAAATGGAAACAGAAACAGAAACAAGCCAAGCAGCCCTGTCCCTACGGTTCCGAAGAAAGATATTATCATCTTATTACCTTACTTAGGTGTACAAAGTTACCAAATCTCTAAGCGTCTGAAATCATGTGAATGCAATTTCTGTTCATTTGTCAATCTTAACATAATTTTTCAAAGCACTCGCCGAATCAAATCTTTCTTTCAANTTGTTGAGATAAACAGATCTGCTGACAATGACAACGCCATTTCCTTTGTCCGGTTTGGTGATGATGATGCTGTGATCATTGCGTAAATCAAATAGGGCTTTCCACTCGTCCTTACTAAGAGTATTTTCTGTTTAGAAAAGTCATAGGAATAAATGTAGTTATAGGAAATATTCCTCAGCTGACTTCTGAGTCGATCTTGGTTATCGTTGCTTAACGACGTTGCTTAACGACGTCCTAAACAGAAACAGAAACAAGCCAAGCTGCCCTGTCCCTACGGTTCCGAAGAAAGATATTATCATCTTATTACCTTACTTAGGTGTACAAAGTGACCAAATCTCTAAGCGTCTGAAATCATGTGTATACAATTTCTGTTCATTTGTCAACTTTAATTAATTTACGTAAATTGTTCACAACTTGTTACCAATTTGTTTATGCATTTGGATCGGCGCAATCAGTTTTGCTTGCGCTTTTGTGTTACCAATAAATAATGAATATCGTCTTTAAACGGACAAACTACATATACATATACATATACATATGGGGATGAGCCCACAAGTTGGCCAGCGGAAATACAAAATTCGTGCCACCCAATCTCAACCGCAAAGCCGGAGAGAATCTGGGCTCGATTTACAATTTTTTGGTGTCCGAGTCTTCTCCGGGGTCTCCTCTTAAGCGATTAGATTATGAGCTCGAGATTTCTATCACGCAGAGAAACCGAGAGCTAATTGTTTTAGAATAGATCTACTAGTGGTTCAAAACTTATCTGACTCCTCTTCACAGACACCTCGAAAACGCTAAGAAGCGGCCCTCATTTTGTTAACATGGGCACACTGCTATGCTACTCACTATCTATCAGAGAATAGATTGTGAGTAGCGTGGCCAGTCGGGGAGCAGCATTCGTGACAAAACGCTAGTAGATTTATACTAAAACTCGTTATAGTTCACCACTAAATTTTTTCCGATTCTTATTGGTTTAAGTTGATCACGTGACGCGAAAGTGTTCATCCACGGAGAGGCATGCGCACTATCAGCCCATAGTGCCCGTCCGAGGAAAATACCCGGACGGATAGTACTCGTCCGAGAAAAATTTTCTGTAAACAAGCGAGCTTATAAAAGAATAAACAAGTGAAATTGTATTAAGCAGGTTCTGTTTATTTCCCTTTTTAAATTTTACCTTTGGCTTTTACGGCTTTCTTCTAAAAAAGTTGAAAATAATTCAATATGATTTTTGAACTGGCGCGCGGAACTCGGAACCATTAGTCTGACAGTTGCCCCGTTGGAAATTTGATGTTCTTAAAACTAGCATATTTGCCCTCGAAGCTTCGCTTCTCGGGCAAATTAAACAATTAGATTATGAGCTTGAGATTTCTATCCCGTGAAGAGGGCGCAGCCCGAGTCAACTATCACGCATAGAAATCGAGAGCGAATAATCTAATTGTTTAAATCTACTAGTCGTTTAAAACTTTCATCTGAATCCTCTTCACAGACACTTTGAAAACACAAAAAGCGGCCCCCAGCGCTCGCTGCTATGCTACTCACTATCTGTCACAGAATAGAACGTGAGTAGCGTAGCCAATCAGAGGTAGTAGATTTATACTAATTACTCGATAGGTTATATCGCTGCTATTTTCTGCGCCAAATAATTCCAGAACGTTCCAACAATGTAATCAACAACAACCGCAAGTCTGCAGCGGTCTCTCAATCTAGAAATTTCCTCTGAATTGAGAATTCTCTGGAGAAAGCTGCTGTTTTCCATATTTTCCTCAACACGGCCGCGGGAACAGCGTGGGAGGAGGAAGGGAGGAGCTGGGGGTGTAAAGCCGAGAAGACGCTGGGTACGAGTTTTTCAGAAACCCTGATCGTCGAGGCTGCACAGTTTGGAAGGTAGGAAGATCGCTCCTTGTTTAAGGCTCTTTTCTCACCGTCGGTAGCATTTTGAGTTTTCCTATAGAACTCCGCTTTGCCAGAAAATGTGTGGTGCTGAATCTTATGTAAAGTTGTCCAAGAAGAATACGCTTGGATCTAAATCTAAATCTTTGCTGCGAGAAACTACCGGAGCGAGAATCATAAGCTTATGCATGCGGAAATGCAGAATTTGCTTTGTCACCGTCACGTCATGTTCCGTCATGTGGATCTCGTAGATCCTTGTAAACTACACCAGTACACACATCAAGAGATATCGAGCAAGCGACAATCTAAGAATTAGCTTAAAGTCAATTAGAGAATTGAGTAAACACTCCGCTCTCGAAGCAAGACATTTCGATAAAAGGTTATGCTCAGGTTACAAGTAGCTAACGCTATCAACCCTATTTTATTCTGTATCTGTTCTGTTTGGTGTCTGTTTTAAGTCTCAGATCATAGTTAATAGAGGTCAGATTGTTAAATTGTCTTTGTTCTAGGTGTCGATTGTCTCGGATATGGCGCTCCGTCTTCCTCTCCGGTCGCTTTCTCGCGTTGTAGCCCGGGGGCGATTTGTTCCATCCGCCTCTATCAACAGGTTTTCTTATGCCACACTCGCAGAGGTAATGTAATGTTGATATTGCTTAATTTTAGTAGTGTGTCATTTCATGCTGGGGAAATGACGACTGTTAGAAATAACAAACTGGACACGGAATTCGAGCACAACTCTTACTATTGTATATCGAATACACTAATATTAGACAGGCCATCTAACTGTTTTCGTCGCTTCACAAAAGTGAAACTTTTCAGTGTAGCAACTTTTGCCAGTATGCTAGCTAGCGGTAGCGTTTATACCATAACGACTGAAATCAGTTATGAGAGAAGGTTTACGAGGTATTTCTTGTCGAAAACCCCACCGTGAAATGCATACGTTCAAATTTGTATATTGCAATAGGATGAAGACAAAACAATACAACACCAAAGCTATTTAGATTGCCTGAATAGTTTATACCAAGGGCGTTGGAGTATAAAGTACGTAATGAATTGTCTGGCACCGATCTCACAAGTCTCTTCATGAATACATAGATGGCTAGGTAAGGCTAGATTGGTAATCATTGCTGTTTTACATCTGAGTAGTAGGAGGTCTTGGCAGAAGTCACGAAATACATACATGTAACTTCCTGTTTGTGAATAGCATACATATGTAGGATGCGTCATTTGGCTACAACTGAAGGACTCGCTTCATTTCTCTTTTATTATTTAAATTTTTAAACCACAGAGAGGTTAAATAACAATTTCCCTTCTGCTAGTTTACATTAGAAAAAGAACAAGTGAGGTCTTCTGGTACTTGTAGTCAAACAACCCCATCAGTTGCCTGCTGTTTAATACACTTTCCAAGGTAAACTGGGAATTGTTCTGGTCGGATTAAAAAAAAAATGTTAAATGCGGTCAAAAGTTAAGTGAGACTTTGTTAAATACTAAGAAACCCTCCGATGGTTTCTAAAAGGGTTTGATTTGGCTGGATAAAATCACACACACAACAACTGCAAAATTATTCAACATGGCGAACCCTAACAAGAACTGGGCCACCTCACTTTAATGCACATGCATTAAACTGCTGACAATACATAACCGACTTCTTTCAATGAGTCCTAGCTGTCACCATATGTATGTACATGACCGAAGTTATTTTCTTCCCCAGATGTTGTGCCACCAAGCACTCATCCCTCCCTAGGGCTGGTGACAGAACATCTCTATTTGCCGTAAAAAAAACAAAACAAAACAAAACAAAAAAAAAGACAACAAATAAACAATCGAACAAACAAAAATACAACCACTGAAGGTAGATTTCTTTGGGATGATCTAAATCAGGATCATTGATCTAAGATCACTCGGATCATGCTGCATCCAGCCTTGACCATGATGCAAGTGTTGTTGTGCGACTGATCCTGGTCTAGATTATTCCAATGAAATGCACGGCTTAATCATTTTACAGAAGTCTGGTTCTTTTAATCTGACAGGTAAAGATTGATGACAGCCCTGAAGTAAAATACAACCAGGTAGGTTTAACTCTATTTACATGTACATGTTTTGGAACTCTTGTTATCCACCTTCTTTAAGGTCATCTAATTGAAGAAGGCCAGGCACACAACTTAGGTGAATCCAGTGTAGTATCTTAGACATCAGTATCAAAATAAATATTTCATCATGAGATATTGCTTTAAAGAGGAAAGTGCAAGATATCTTTAATTTTTTTTTAATTAGTTACTTTCTTTCTGTAATAATGAATATTTCCTCTCGTAACAGTTCTGATATTTTTAGATAATTTTGTTATTCATTAATTAACAATTAAAAGCCGAAGCCGTGTATTACACTGTGATAAAACACAACAGGCATTTGAGAACACGAGGGAAATGTAGAAAACAGGAGCCGCAGGTGAGTGTTTTCTACATTTCTTGAGTGTTCTCAAACGTCTGGAGTCTTTTGTCACAGTGTCATACATGTCTTAGGCTTCTTCATTTGCTTTTTTGTAGTAGAGGTAGTGTGGCGAAAAACAATAAAAGTTACATGCTTTTTCTATGTCTTCTACTATGATAAAACATGGACTTTTGACCAATCAGAGCACGTACAGGGTCCTATCTATATTATAATGTTTTTAACTTGTACCTGTAAAGTATGTCAATTGATATGTTTTGCTTCTCAATCCACTGTTAGGTTTTCGTCAACAACCAGTTTGTGGACTCTGTCAGTGGTAAGACTTTCCCCACAATCAATCCAGCAACAGGAGAGAAAATATGTGATGTAGCTGAGGGTGATAAGGTATTGCAAAGTATATGTTAAACATGTTTTCTTACTGCAATAGCCGTTTATTGCAAGCTCTGTCAGCATTTTAAATTATGAATTTAAGAGGTGAGATTTGCTTAATGGTTATATAGTCCACTGGACCCGGAATCGAGCCCTTCCCAGTCCTGGTTGGGATCATTGCATTGTTTTCTTGTGCAAGACACTAAATACTCTCACAGTGCCTCTCTTCACCTTTTTTGCTCTGTCAAAATTACACTTACAAAATGTGCCAAGAAAAACAAATGAAAAAAAAAAAAATAATAATTAAGAAATTATTAATTCTCTTTGAATAGAGGGGTTTTTAATTGCGGGTTTTCAATTGAGAGTCGAAAGTATTTTGACAGTTTCAATTGCTTTTGGTTTTGGTATTACATCAGTTCAAAATTGGCTGAGTACTCTAATTGGTAAGTAATTGGTTTGATTTTGGTTTTGGTTTTACGACACTGTTGTAATCACAAATAATACCAAATCAAGCTATAAATGCTCAGAGACCAAAGCAACTTATAAAGAATAATGTTTTAGCAGTGGGAGTAGGCATATAGCACTTCCAGAAAGGCTGCCTAATAAGTTCATTGCATGTTATCCAACCAACTTCTCACAGTTTGCCCTAGCAAAAGCCATAAGAGTTAAAAGTTCCACTCTAGAAAACAACACTGTCATTATTTTCTTTTCCACAGAATCTGCCATCCAGTGTTCTAACTGTTTACATGTAATTGATAGAAAATGTCCTTACAGCTATTGGCATGTGTTCAACTTGTATTAGTTGTAATTTGAAGCACCCACTGCTGAAAGTGGCTGGATTTTAAAATAATGCCAATTTAATGGTCAGTTGTATAGCTTGGTAGACATTGATGTTGCTGTGTAAATTAAAGCACTTGCATGGATTTTGAATTCAAATTTAATTGATGTAGCTTTGAATCCGATATCTAGGCAGACATTGATGTCGCTGTAAAAGCAGCCAAGCAGGCCTTCAAACTGGGCAGTCCTTGGAGAACAATGGATGCATCAGACCGGGGAAGACTTTTGAACAAACTGGCTGACTTGATTGAGCGCGACCAAGCTTATCTTGCAGTAAGTTCAACTTTGTTCCAAAAAAAAGATTAAGGCCTTTGAGAAACCCATACTGTTCTTCCAGACTGGAATCTAAGTCAATGAATTTAAATTTGCTATGATTAAATGTAATTATTATATTTAATCATAGCAAATTTATTAATCTTGATTTGCTGATTGTTGGTGAGTTGTTAATAAAATGTCAGGCTGAATATTCTGAAATGCACATGTGGTCATGTGGTCAAATACAGTGTTTTATATTTGATACATTTATTAATATCTTGTAAAGAAAGCAATCCCATTTTTTTTTTTTTTGCTGCAGAGTTTGGAGACTTTGGATAATGGCAAGCCATTCAGTGATTCTTTCACAGTTGACTTGGAGATGACAAAGAAGTGCTACAGATATTATGCTGGTTGGGCTGACAAAATTCATGGCAAAACAATACCAATTGGTTAGTATATAGACTCCTGAAGTGCACATGTATGTTACAACTGCATAAAGACATCAACTGTTCTCTAGGTCTAAACTGTCTGGCCAGACATCATTTTAGTTTTAGCTTTTTGATAGGATTTTTATGGCAGGTCCACACCAGCCCTTTGGTTCCCACATGCGGCCTCCAGAAAAGAACATTAGTAATAATATGCATATATGTATGAAAGCCCTTGATGGACTAACATCCCACCCAGGGACCCCACTCTAGTTGTTTCATGCTGTGAAAGCAGGTAGTATAGATGTCAGGCTATAAATAACTAACAGATACCTTTTTCCTTCATCATTAATGATTTTTTAATTCAATAATAGAGTGCTCGATTTCTTCCAGATGGTGATTTCTTATGTTACACCCGCCATGAACCCATCGGCATTGTTGGGCAAGTGATTCCTTGGAACTTTCCACTCTTGATGCAGGCCTGGAAACTTGGCCCTGCCCTGTGTACTGGGAATGTGGTAGTAATGAAGCCTGCAGAGCAGACGCCACTGACTGCCTTGTATGTGGCATCACTAATCGCTGAGGTAGGATGTAAAAAGCAAATTTAGAAAATTTTATTGATCTACTAGGAATTAATGCCATGGTCAATCAAACTTGCACATTACACATTGTACTTTGTTTAATTACTTGCTGACTAAAATGTGCTAATATTACGTGTAGGTAATCTTGACAAACAGTAGGTTCAAATGTATCAAGTGATTATTAATTAAAACAAACTGTTGGCAGAGAAAAACCAGACAAACAAAAACATTGAATAAATAAATTACATGATTGTAGATACTGGTGAAATTACGTGTTATGGCCAAAAGAAATCACGCAAGAAGACTGAATCTATTGTGTACACCAATTTTTGTTTTCTTATTGCAGTCAGAGAGCACTTTTTGCATGTGTATGGTCTCAAATAATGCAAACATGTACGTGTACATACATCATTCACAAGATTCCCAGAAAACTGCTAAGTGTTATCCTCATTCATGGTTGAAACATGTACTACAGTGTACATAAATTTAATGACAAATACCTCTTTTTAAGTCAGGTGACGGGGCAGGAAAAAACCCAGGTCCGATTGCCCAGGGCTAGTAAATTTCACTCAGTGGCCCAGTGAGCAAGTGAAATTAGCCTCAGTAATCTTGTGGGTCTGATTGAAAATGTCAGCTTGATGAATAATTTCCAGTCAGAAGCTATTTCAAAACTTAAAAGACTACAAGATTAGTTAACCATTGAGTTGAAAGCATGGATTACTTAGTAATCCAAGCATACTTTGTTTGTGTTTGATTGCCATGTACTGGCTGTCACGTTGGCAAGTAATATTTAAGTGGGGGCAAGTGAAAACAGAAATTTACTGGCCCATGGCCACTGGGCAAGTGGGTTTCAATTTTTTTTCCTGCCCTGAGGTGTATGAAAATGTAAATAATTTCGCCTACAACACTTCAACCTTTATGATGAGTGGTTAGAGTGGTCGATGGGCTTGAGATCACAACCCAAAACCTTGCAGGTATGCAATGAATAGGTTAGTGGACAAACCTTTGCTTTTGATTGTTTTCCAGGCTGGTTTCCCTCCCGGTGTTGTAAACATCGTACCAGGTTATGGGCCGACAGCGGGGATGGCAGTCGCAGAACACATGGATGTCGAGAAGATCGCCTTTACCGGTTCCACTGAGGTAATGCTGGGCACATTAGTACATGCATCAGTCTAATCAGAACTGTCTCAAAAACGACGTCACCGTTTTAAGGTGGCTGAACACAGTTTTGATAGGGTTTGGATATACATGTATATGTGGGTTATTGACCAAGTGTGAGGTCAAGATGGCTGGATATTGGCCAAGTTTTGCGTGTTTATGGACCGAGACGGAGTTGAGGTCCATAAACACGGAAAAAAACCCGAGGGGTAGCCAATAATAGCGCAGGATTCGGTTCATATTGTCCGCTCACAGAGTTAGCCATAATTATATTAAATGTCGTTAAGGCGTTTTAGTAAATACACTGTGTAACCCTGCCTTGCAGGCATCTCGTTATTAGACTCTTCTTTTCTATGGTTTTGTTCACAGGTAGGACATTTGATTCAACAAGCGGTAGGTAGAAGTAACTTGAAGAATGTCACGCTGGAGCTGGGAGGAAAGAGTCCCAACATTGTCTTCGCTGACTCTGATCTGGATGATGCTGTCAGCATGAGCCATTTTGCCCTGTTCTTCAACCAGGGTCAATGTTGCTGCGCTGGGAGCCGTACCTTTGTGGAAGAATCAATTTATGATGAGTTTGTGGAGAGGAGCGTGGAAAGGGCAAGGAGCCGAGTAGTCGGTAACCCGTTCGATCTCAAGACAGAGCAAGGACCACAGGTACGGAAGATTAGATGACATTTGTGAGGCGACATCGCTAATGAATCAAAGAATTACTCTTGTAAGAAACGAAATGCCATGGCCTTGCATATACGGCTGGTGCACCTGAAATCTGAATTGACCAATCAGGATTCAGCAGGCGGGAAAACTGTACTGTCCTGACGTCAAAAGTATGTTCACAGGAAAAACATTGATGTCGGGCAACTTTTTTCACTGGAGACGGAATTGAGTATTTACGAAATGGGGATTTATTA